TATATATATATATATATATATATATATATATATATATATATATATATATATATATATATATATATATATATATATATATATATATATATATAGTTGTTGTCTTCTCTACTTAAAATTAATTAAGTCGCAACTCTGAGTTTCACGTTTTCCAGGCGACGATGTATGTTCAACTAACTTTTCCTGCTTGATGACGTTGATATCCGTTGTACTGCTTGCGTGACTGAGATTGCGTGCGTGATTGAGCTTGCGCACGTTCAAACTTTCCGGCCAAGAATCGTTTTCTGAACGCACTTCGAGAACAATTCGCGTCTCCTATTCAGCAAGTTTGACTTATCAGCTTTTAGAATGCAAAGTTTCTCTTGGAGGGAAAGGTTGCATCTCTTTCCACCGCTGAGATGCAACATTCAATATACACTTATTCAGGAAAATAAACTAGAAAGAACACTTTCTAATAAATAACTAGTAGATGGTATATGTCTTACCTCTTTATTGATCCTTCGTAGTATTTCTTTCAATTTATGTTGTTAATCTTCAGTTCTCCAGGCGACTTTCAATTAACTCGCAAATTTTGCTCAAAAGTCTGAGTTTGCTTTTCAACTTCCAAGTTCCAACTGCCTGTTCTCAAAACAGCACTTGTCGTTTTATCCTTCTACCAGGAACTTATTTTAGCCTAATATTATACGTGCCAATAGTTTCAGAAATTTTCAGACATAAAATGAACGTTATTTATTGGTTAACAGCACCAAATCGGAAAACCTCTAGATTGAATAACAGCTATGTTATTTTTAAAGAAGCTATAGAACATTTACAAACGTGAAGAATATTTAGCAGAAAGATGTGTTTGTGAAAGTCACTGAGTAAAATTCGGTTTCTTGCACTTGTTGTCACACTCACTTATAAGGTGCTTACGTGCATATATAAGTGCGCTGCTGTAATGAACAAATATTTTGATAAGTATATTTCCAAAATATTCGTTTTACACACGTAGCAGAAGCTTTTCTGGAATATATATAGGCTCTTTGCAGTTGGCTAAATATGGTTGAGAACAATAAGTAACTATAGAGAGGTGTGTCTGCATGTGGGATTTGAGAACAAAGGGATGCTGTCCAGATATTTTTATGCAAAGTGTTTTTAGGCCAGCTGTAAAGGGCCTATTCGTGACCTAATTTTTATATAAATAGGCCTAATCATTTTTTGTTGTAGTTTTTGCACATCTTCTTTTCTTAGATGTTAAAACCAAAATTTAAATTAAAGTAAGAGGATGTTTTCCCCTCATCAGAAACGTATAAATATGGGAGATTGGGTGATTGCGAAGCCGATATTACCCTGCATGGATGCCAGAGGTTTTCAGGTTCAAGCATGCAGTGAGCGTCATATAGATCTGGAGCGAGAACATCTGTCCAAAAACAGAAGCCAAGATGGCAGAAATTGAAAAGCTTTTCTCTTCAACCGTATCGTATAACGTAGAGTATATGTTATCGTTTGTGTTAAAGTCATTAGTTCCACACAAAAATGGTAAAATCTCAGAATATATTCATTGCATGACATTGTGGGCGCTGCCAACTAATTTCCCGCGCTTTTTATCAGTTTGCTTTGTGTCGGCTTATTTGTTGCGAAATAACGTTCAAATTGTGTATAAGTTTAATTAAACAATTCTTAATTATGCTTGAGTCATCTAAAATTTTTCTTGCAATCGGGCCTTAACTTTCTTCTAATCTTGAAATTTTAGCAATGAATCCAAACATTTACCGACTTATATTTTAGCAATTTTCTTCATGTACATCAATTCTACATAACGTGTTCAGTTAAAGATGAGCCAGCTTACTTGTCTTGTCTCTTAATTTGTGGCCGCAATTCTGTATGAACGTTGAATTAATGAACACTTGATCTCTATATAGGCAGTAATTTAAAACTGTTGATAAAGCACTTGAATTAGATCAAGACAAGCTATGGTTTTAACTTTCATTGTAGCTTGTTATATGACAACATGATGTGATTATGAACATGCAGCTGCATAGACTTATGTATGGCTTCACGCACGTAGCAATATACAGTTGGAAAATAACAATTATACTATACTCTATATAGCAGGCACGATAAATTGCAATTTCGACTGGTTTGCTTTCTCTCCTTGACACTTAGGAAACACCGTCACGTCGACTTTAAAATAAACAAAATATTATACTATTTCTGAAGTACGAAAAATTTACTGTGAAAATGCATGAAATTTTGGTTTTGTCTAAAGAAATGGTTTTTCAGAGTGATGAATAGTTTATATTTCAATTATTGTTTCTGCAGGGGAAATTATGGTCATAGCTACTTTGTTGGGCTGTTTGTGATAAACCTTTCGGGTTTGGATGCAAAGTTTAGAGTTGGTTGGGAATAAGCGAGTAACTAACACTTATTCATGACTGCCGAGGGAAACGGTTTGGCAGTTGAGTTTACATAAAACTTACTGTTTTCCGACTAAGTTTCAGTCAATCATGCAGTATTTTATTCTATACAAAGTGCGAAAGTATAAAGAAACGGGAAGCGTCCATTCTCATTGCTTCATAACTCGGTGATTTTATTATTCACCGGTCAATAAAAGACATAAAAATAATAATGTCTACCGCTCGGAGCTGTTGCCAGGAGACTTTTCGTGGTTTACACATGATACGCTCTCGTCCAATGAGATTCAATAAAACATGAACTTTGAGTCTTCGACACTTAAAGGATTGGAATAATGCTTTGGGGAATGGTTTGCAGAATTTTATACCCTTTAAATTAACAGTGATATTGTAGGCATACAGGGTGTCCCCAAAAACCTCAAAACCATTCAAATTACGTGTTGTTAAAATATGAATGTCCTAACATTAAATTGAACGCAAAGATGCGTAGAATATTGACAAGGGTGCATGCATATAATTAAATATTGACTTATTAAGAAATTAAAATATCTTTGTAAAGCGCACGATTTTCTGCTCTGGGAATTTAAGTTCCTTTATCCATAAAATTTATACTTATGCCAAGCTTTGATGCACTTTTGGGTTCAGCAGAGTGCTGAGGCATTCAAATTCTAGCAATACGTTATTTCAATAATTTTGTTTTTTGGTGGGGGCACCTGTATATATCTGGGAGTAAGATATATGGCACTGGCTAATATTTACTTCCTTTTTAACTGAGCATGAATAAGAGTGTTATTGATAAGAATGGTGATTCACTAAGGCCCGTTTCAGACGGCGTACTCAGTCTTCATGTGCCGAACTTAATTGTATTAGATGCGACACAAGAACGGCAGTGATTCAAACGGCGTACCAAATACTATGTTATTGACAAGGTTGGGGCGCATTCGCCAGCGAAACCTCAATAAAATTCAAAATAAATAAGTTTATTTTTAGACTAAAGTTGAATTAAGTTTGGCATATGAGTGGAGCGGCGTATGAATCAATGTCGCTCCAACGTCGCACAATGCGACAAGCTCTGACGAATTTAATACGAACTTGTGTCGAACTTTTGCCGCTCCAAATTCTGCCGTACTTAATTGATTCATATACGTCGCTCTTCTGCCGTACCTAATTCATCAATTAAGTTCGGCGCATGAAAAGTACGCCGTCTGAAACGGGCCTAAGTCACTAGCTAACACTCCTATTCATGCTCCGTTTAAATAAGGTATTCCCCATCCCTATAGAAAACAGCCTGGAAACGAGATTGGACCAGTGAGCTCTATATGTACCTAGAGCAAGAATTTCAGTCATTCGAAAAGTGAAACCAAGATGGGGGAAATTGACGTCTAAATTCTATGAAGGTCATAAACAGTTCTCGCGCCATTTTCCCTGCTAATTTCAGTTGTTTCTAACGGACCACATTGCTGTTCAAGTTATTAGTTCATGAAATCATAATATTATTCTTCAAATCGAAGTCAAAATACGGAATTTCGGCACACTCTTTACTAGCTTCATGTCAACTGCGCTGACAAAAACAATAGAAAGAGACTGGCACTGGACGTTGGCTTCACTTATTTCAGTTTTCCCCGAACCTTATATTACGTATAATAACAAACCTAACATATATATGTTTGGGAAATTGATAATTTTGTAATTAAAAGTGATATTTTTAGGGGATATTTCATTTGGAAAAATATTCTTAAAAAATTATCGTGTTACCATGACAACTACTTTCAACTTCACGTTCGTAAAATACAATGGTTTTCTCAGCAAGGCGAGGGTTTCTGCATGCATGTATTTTCTAGTTAGAGGTAATAACCACGATGACAAAAAATGATGTCAATGGGAAGATTTTACGCCCTGTCATGAACTTCTTTAATGCAATTTTTATTTTCTCAGTTGGTGGTTCAGATACTTGTATTAATATGCATATAACCAAAGAAAGACCTTGTTTTGGGAAGTTATTTTATCGCATCTCCTACCGACATTGCACAGATATACTCCAAATAACATCTGTAAATTGACCTTTATTTACTATGAAACACTCAAGTTACCACTCTCTCATTGTAAAATATTTAGAGTTTGTCTGTGTTGTACAAGCCTGGTTTCCATATGGTTGTACAACTGTCGTGAACATGTCGTGAAGCGTTTGTCGTGAATACTTTTTATACTTGTTTCCATTATGGTTGTAACTGTCGTGACACAGTCGTAAGTTAATTTCGTACCCAGGAATCGTACAAGCAGCTGCATGGCGGCAGTTTTAAAAATACAAACTGATTGCTCAACAAGTCCCGGATAATTCTCAAAAACCGATAGCTGCCACATTAGTTCCGTTGGCCACGTTATTATCGAGTAGTAATCGTTATTCGTGGACGCACTTGTGGCCAAAATCATATTATTAGATGCTGTAGAACCCATGTTCCTAGCGCCTTCGGCAGCTTGTTAAAAGCCAGCGAAATACTAAGGTGATGCCAATGTGGTGGTGTTCGACGACTCTCTCTCTCCTCTCTCTCTCTCTCTCTCTGATGCTGAACTTCAGAAAATTTACTACGTTTATTATATACATTGATTTGTATTTTACATTGTTTCAGGCTTTATAGTATTTCAATAAGTTGCACGCATGCCCAATGATTAGCAAATAAGTACAGTTTGTTAATATACCGCTAGCCTTATAGAATAAACCTTTTCTTGAGCGAAAGTGAATTATAAAGATCTTTAAATATATCTAGCAGCTAAATTTTCTAGGATATATATACATGATTACCTTTTAAGCACGGCGCGGCTTACCACGGGCAAATTACCAGTTGCCTAATAACTGAGACTATGCATACAGCTTGTGTTGACTAAATTACACTATTGACACTTCATAAGAATTACAAGAAGATACTGATAAAGTATCTTAATATAATATGCTTATGGCTGTATGCACCTCAGGGGTAATCAATCTACATACATGTAACACATATGTAATATAAAAGGACTAGACAGACTATAGACACGCAAGACTAGAAGTCCGTAGCACGGACATGTTTCCATAGCTACAGTATTTCAAAACAAGTCCTTAGAAATTTAGGTTAATCTCGCATGCATTGCTACTATTCTCACGTGTCGATCTATATCCATGCGTTATTAATGAATTTGATACACAAATCAACAATGGACTTTTCTCACGTGTCAGCCATGTTGGAATGAAAATCTAGGCATATTTGATTGCCCCCGCTCTTTTGCTGTTCGTGCGTTATTAGTCTTGTTTTAATTCCAACATGACTGACACACGAGGAAGGCCTATATGTCATGTTTAAGATCACACCATAGTTTGTTTGGAGTATTTCATCGGTCCGTGCCCTCTTTCTGATCTTCATTCGTGAAAAACTTTGCATTTCATAGCTTATGAACTGTTAAAGTGTTAAAAATGTTAACTTTCAACCCCGGGGTTGAACTCTGCGTTAGCCCTGCCAACCGGGTTGAAATGTTTTGCGATTACATGGACGATTTCAATCCCGGGGTTGAAATCTATACGTTCCCGACATTGATCCCCGGAAGTAAAGAAAAGCGGCTCCATAGCCTCCATTCTGTTTTCTTGTAACAAATATGGTCACTACTGCGCATGCTTGAATAATTTCAGCCCTGGGTTCAGTGAAACGATTACATACAACATTTTGAACCCAGGACTGAGTTCAACCCCAGGGTTGAAATTCCAACCCTGCTAGCTGAAGCAGGGTTGAAATTTCAACCCCAGGGTTGAACTCAGCCCGGGGTTGAAAATTTTATCATGTAATAGCGCGTTTGAGCTTCACAAAGTTTTGTATTACAGACACGGCTGAAATTTCAACCCGGTCTGCAGGGCTTAGTTCAACCCCGGGGTTGAAAATGCTCCGTGTAATCGGTCCTAAGTATCTTAATATAATATGCACTTATATGCTTATGGCTGTATGCACCTCAGGGGTAATCAATCTACATTTATTTAACACGTATATTATATACAAGACTAGACGGACTATACAGAAGACAAGCAAGACTAGAAGTCCCTAACACGGACATGTTTCCCGCATAGCTCTTTCAAAACAAGTCCTAAGAAATTTAGGTTAATCACGCATGCATGACTATTGTTTTTACGTGTCCATCTATGTGCATGCGTTAATAATTAATTTTATATACAAATCAACAATATGCTTTTCTCACGTGTCAGCCATGTTGAAACGAAAAACAAGGCAAATTACGCAACGAAGATGCAACTTGATTGCCTCCGCTTTTTCTGCTGTTCGTGCGTTATTAGCCTCGTTTTAATTCCAACATGACTGACACGCGAGGAAGGCCCATATGTCATCTTTAAGATTCTACCATAGTTTTTTATAGCATTTCACTGGTCCGTTATTTTCAGTGCCACGATAGCCGCCTCTTTCCGTTCGTGAAAACTGATTGCGTTCTATGTGAGTGAAAGCCCTTTTATAATGCTCGTCAGCCGTTTAGCGTGCTGATAGACGAATAGGATTACCACTAATTGGCAAAGAGTTGTGATTTAACTATAACTCAAGTTAACACGGAATTTATGAACCTTTGAGATTAATAAGCCGTAATATTAAAACATGTTTATCGAAAGTCAACATGGTCTCTTATTCCCTGTCATGTACATCATCATACAGCTGTTCATATTAAGATTGCATCTAATTAATTGTTGCACCACAAGACTTTGCCCCATAGGGGTGACGGCCTTTAGGGGGAGATAAGTCTCACCAGCAGGCCTAGAAAATATATTTCTCTTGGCTGGCAGCAAAATCCAAAAATAAAAATTTCCTTTTTAAGTCAATTATAAGACTTCCTGCATATGTAGATTTCAGAGAACGGATGGCGATAAACTACAATCTCAGCACAAGACAATCTCGACTGGCAAAATGCTTTTGGACTTTTTAAACAATAAGTAAATTATATGGCATTTAAATACAGACACACAGGCACTATAATAATATTAGCCTGCGAACAGGCTCTCAAGCTGAATTGAGAGCCTGCATCGATGACTTATGAATTTGAATATCTGCCCCGTAACGTTCGTTTTTCCAAATATGGAATGTCTATCCTTATATGGTGTTGTTTACAACTTTCGTGCAAACTAAATTTAGACCGTGCAAACTAAATTTAGACTAGAAGATATTCAAGCAAAAGTTCAAATGTTTTAAATACTGTTTTCTCAAAGAGCATTCGCCACTGACTTATCTTATAGTTTACCTCGACTGCTCAAAAACAAAATGTGTTATTGCATATTCTATATAGGTCCTTGTCGAAGAAAGTAAGCGTGTACAGTTTATACGTACAGTTTATAC